GTGGAGCTAAATCCCTACGCCCCTTGAGTAAGTGCTGGACTTACTTTGAAAAGATAGCATATGGAAAGAAAAAAATAGTAACTTTCCATTGGAGAAACCTGACAGACAGCACCTTAACCAAGTGACAGAGGCTAACATCACTAGTGATGTCATGTGGGGATCATCCACCCCCAAGATGATAAGAAAGGCACTTCACCTCTGTGGTCTTCTTTCCAAAAACCTGCTACCCCAATGTAACCATAAGAAAAACATCAGACAAATCCAAATTGAAAGACATTCTACAACATACTTCCATGCATCTCAAAATTGTGAAGGTGGTAAAGAATAAAGTGAAGACCGAGAAACACAGACCACAAGAGACCAAGAAGAAATGATAACTAAATATAATATGATGTTCTGGACTGGATCTTGGAACACAAAGGATATTATAGATAAACTGGAGTTGATGGTAACATACCAAGGATGATTCCTTAGTTTTGACAAACAAAATAATGTAAGATTATAACATTAGGGTAAACTGAAATTGGGTGAGGGGATACAAGAACTCCCTTGTACTATCTTTACAACTTCTCTGTATGCCTATAAGAGTTTATAAGACAGAAAATTTCAGAGATCCAGATCAAATAATATGTAGAAGCATCCTGTATCAAATCAAAAGATTTGCCCTAAGTTTTCAATACTGTTAGCCTAGAGGATGTCTAACTTGCAGCCAATGCTGCAGACTTCCCTTTCTTCCTCAGTAAAAGTGTTCTATACTAACAGGCAGTACCTCTAATCCCAGCTGGCATTTCCCCTAAGTCCTTTGGATGAAAGGATGATCAGGAGACAAAAGTCTGAACAACATGGTACAAACAACATAAAGTTTATATGAATGTCTGTAAATAAAGGCATTTCAGAGTTTTAAAATCTAGTTAATTTTACCAGATGTTTAAGTCTTGGTAGGATATATTTTTTAAAAATTAAATAAAATAGATTCAAGGCCTTTAAAAGACAAACCTTGCCAGTATGCTATATTCCCATTTAATGAGTAAGGATTTCTGGGTATCATAGTTTTCTTAAAAAAACCTACATTTAAAAAAGCACTTCAGGGGTTTTCCCTGGTGGTGCAGTGATTGAGAATCTGCCTGCTAATGCAGGGGACACGGGTTCGAGCCCTGGTCTAGGAGGATCCCACATGCCGCGGAGCAACTGGGCCCGTGAGCCACAACTACTGAGCCTGCGCGTCTGGAGCCTGTGCTCCGCAACAAGAGAGGCCGTGATAGTGAGAGGCCTGCGCACCGCAATGAAGAGCGGCCCCCGCTTGCCACAACTAGAGAAAGCCCTCGCACAGAAACAAAGACCCAACACAGCAAAAATAAATAAATTAATTAATAAAAGGTGTTGTTATTAAAAAAAAAAAAAAAAGCACTTCAGGGATTTCCCTGATGGTCCAGTGGTTAGCACTCAGTGCTTTCACTGCAGTGGGCCTGGGTTCAATCCCTGGTCAGGGAACTAAGATCCTGCAAACCGTGCGGTGTGGCCAAAAAAATGACTTCAGCTGTTCTACACAGGTGACCTTATAAACTGATGACACGTGTGATAAAAAGAGGCAATATTAAGATTTACGAGATACCTTATAAATAACATTACTTTGATATTAAATATCAATTAATAGTAAATCAATATTTAAGCCAAAGTGGTCTTTGGCAAACCAGGATGTATGGTCACCTTAGCTATAGACCTCATTATGAGAAACACTGTTACACCGTTATAGAGGAAATATTATGATGGCCTATTTTCTAATTAAAATTTTAATAAATAGAATCCAAAACGCAAGTCCCATTCTGAATTTTACAAGGCAGAAGGTAGTGATAAAGTGAGGTACTTATGTCTACAAAACCCTAAGCCATTAGTATTAATATCATGTAAAGAAACAATGATGCTCATAAATTAAAAAATGATTAGAAAGGAATATGATTTTTAACATAATTACTTCACAATATAGATATGCCCATATGGATATAAATAAATGACTGAATGTGCAGATTTTAAATTTGCAGCCATATTACACACAGAAAAACTGGAGCTAAAGAATGGCTGTTCAAAAACGAAAACAAACAAAAAAACTCCAAAAATATGGTAACTTAGTAAACAGCTTAGCCAAAGAACATTTAAAATAGAAGATATTTAATTTTCAGTTTCATATGGTAATCCACAATTAAAAAAGACAGGTTGTACTTTCATTAATAAAACATCTATTTTCTCAGCCAAGCAGACAGATGTTTTATTAACTCTTCACATTGGGAACACTTAAGATTTTTCTGAAACTTTAACAGATAAAATTAAGCTAGGCTGAAAGATCTCAGAATGTAAAGTCACAGTAAACACAACCCCCTAGTGTTTATCTTCATTGCAATACACTCTAAAAAGTATATTATCTGTGACCAAAACTAAATCAGACCAAAAACTACCCCCAAAACGGAAATTCTAGCACAAATGAATTAATGCAGATTCATAGGCTTAAATATATTTCAGTTATAGTTTGGACTGTGATCGATCACTGTATTATAGAAAAAGGCCTCTACATTAACCACATTTTAAAACAGGTACAGTATATTCCACATATTTAAAAAATGAAAAACAAAGATTTTGGGGGGGTAAAATAGTAATGTTGGTAAAGCCTATCTTATTCATGCTACATACATCTCAGTATGATATGATTAATTAGCTATACAGTATCAATATAAAACCAAAAGTGTTATCTCAAATCTGAGTGAATGTATTTAAGGACTTATCCATCCATTCAATTCAATTAACTGATCTAAGCATTTTTTGTTTTAGTATTATTTTTATATTAGTAGCTAATTACTTCCCCCTTCCAACAGCTTACACTTATTTATATAGCAAGGTTCTAAGCAACGTTTTCCCTTTTATTCTTAAGAAGTATTCTATAGACCTCAAACAGATAGACAAAAGGGAAAACCTTGAGAAATGAAAGAAATCTCTTGCCACCCTTAGAACTACCAAGTTCTACACTCAAGAGACAATTCTAAATTGAAAAATGAAAAAAAAAATGGGAAAAATTTCCTAAAATGTAGAAGAAATTAGACTAATTTAGTTTTCTTTAATATCTTCTTTAATAAGACATTACAGCACACAACTGAGCCCCCAGTGTGTCAGTTAAACATGGGGATGTAGATGCATACGAAGGAGAATGGAAACAAATTTAATCTTAACCCCGTTCCTTTTGGCAACTAATGGCAATACAGAATACAAAAGGAGCAATTCTGTGTATTTTTATCAAGTCTTTGAAGACACCATAACAGTTTTATAATGAACTTTGCTGTGATCTGTTAAAGAATCTTCAAATTAATGAGGATGTTTAAAAACTGTAATCTTCCCCTTACACTGATTTAAGCCAAACACAAAAAATGGGGACTGCACTAATAATCCTCGCATGAAAGAATTAATGTCTTATGCTATATCAATGCAGCCATCTCCCTATCACTGAGATCTAAAGTTAAATATGCTGTCCTCAGCTGCTTATAAAAAAAGGGTTAAATACAAGAACATAAAGTTTTTATTCTGAATTTGTCAGTAAAACAAATTAAAAAAAATTAAACCAAAACTTGTAAAAGGTTTTTAAATGATTTGTTACTAACATAAACATACATATGCTCAAAGCACTTTTAAAAACTTTTAAATTGTAATTTAACCAGAACTTCTGTTAATAACCACTATAAGCAATTAGGTCAACTCTAATGTTCTGGTAACCAACATATTGGGAATTAACAAATAATAAATCTGAAACTGAGGAAATCAAATACATGAAAAAAATGACTATTTTTAAAGTAAGAGTATAATAGGAGTTACTAAGAAACTATCACCACTGAAGCTTTTCCTTGGAAATATCTTATTTTAAACTTACAGTGAAGACAAACAAGGTGGGCAGAATATGTACAGTTACAAAACAAATGCAGTGATGAGTTACAGCAGAAAGAGGGAATGCATTTTGTAATCCACAGGATCAGATTTGCGGCTCTAAGCAATTACCAGTAAATATTTGAGTGTTCTTCCTATTCTATCAACTTTAAAATTTAAACTGAGTTACAGCGGTTTCACTTGTATTAATAGTTGGCAAAAGCAAATTAGAAGAAACCCAAATTAGTCTGTTTTAACTGGGTAGCATTTACCTCATTCATCGGAACCAACCCACTTCCCCATCCTTAGAGCCAAAAAAATGTGGATATTGGCCTATTTTAATATTTTTCTAGTTCAGACGGAAGTCATACTGTACACAGCCTTTGATTTTAGGAATCAGAACAAAGTAAAAATCAACTACTCACTTAAAAAGGAAAGGAAGGAGAAGGTTCTGGGAATTAACCCAGTCACAAGCCATTCTAATCTTTCTGTTAATGCAAAATCCATTCATAAATTGGCCAAATTGTTATTAACTTCCAAAAACTCCTTTGAAAATTATATTTCAATTTCAAATGAAAGAACCTGAACCATTTTCAAAGAATCAAGTATAATTTATAAAAGACAGATCTTTACCAGTTCACATATGTTCCATCATATTTTGTATTGAACAGCAGGCTGATTACTTCATTGTGGCATATACTTCAGAACCTAATTTTTCAGATGGGCTGACTGACAATCCAACCACTTTAAGGAATTTATCAGTTATCTACAAGCGAGACCTGGCTGGCAGGTATAGCCAAGTCACACAGTAAGTTTAAATATTCCAACCTCAATCACAAGAAACAATCAGAGGGGAAAATGACACATGATTGCAATATACTAAGGCAGCAGGTAAGTCATTCTTCACCTAGGTCAGCAGCTGCCAATAAAATCGTGTGCACAAATTTAATGAATGAGTCTGCTCTAGTTTAACTATGAACATGCCCCTGAACTTAGAAAGGGAGATAAGAATTGCGCTTGCAATTCTAGCTGATGAGTTCATTAGATTTTTATAAGGCAAATAATGTAGAAAGTTAGAACAGAATTTCTAGAACCATTTATCCTGTGATGTTGTAAAATCAAAGTACTACTTTATTAAATGAGTTATTTTATACAATATGAACATCAATATAATTACAATTGTAAAAAAATTTTTTATAACAAGGATGGACTGATTTTCAGATTTCCAAATCAGAGTCAACTGTACATTTACACAGAATTGTCTTTGCATGAAGCCCAAAAGGGAACAGCATAAAAATGAATGTTTCTGTAGCCCCTTTATTTTTGCTGATCAACAGTTTGTTAGAAAAGCAGCTGCAGGTTTGTTACCTAAGGTCTGAGACAGGAGAAGAGTCAAAGGTGTCACGAATTCACCTACAAAACATAAGCAAGATTTTTGGTGAACGTAAGCATTACACAAATGTGATTTATATGCATTTCAAATGTCTTTAAAAAAAAAGCACAGGATGAATTGGGAGATTGGAATTGACATATATACACTAACATGTACAAAACAGATAACTAATAAGAACTTGCTGTATAAAAAAATTAATTAAATTAAAAAAAAAAAAAGCACAACATGCCTAAGCTACGAAGTTAGTCTGATAGATCTGTCAGCTAAATTTTTATAAACAGATCTTTGATGAATTTACTTTAAAAATAATAATCATGCATATACCATCACCATCATTTAGGAAAAAAAATCCAACCACACAAAGTATAAACTGATTATTTTCAAGCAACTACCTAGTTGATACAGTGAATGCCTATATTTTGCCTTACATTTTAATGTACTTAGAAGCTCTACTAAGCATTCTAAGTAAAATACCTGCAAAAAAGCACTCATAAACTTTGGTCTGCATCATTTCTGGGAGCAAGACTCTCAAATACCTTTATAATAGTTATTTTCTTTAAACTGAAAACTTTCTTCCATTCTCGGGCCAGAGTGGGCCAGCATCACCTCATGCCATTTTTGCCTACAGTGGTTAAAAACGTGGATGTTTCAAAGGCATTGAAAGGATATGGTCTGGGAAAATGGACTTCTAACAACTGTAAAGTTAAACATTAACTTCAGTAATGAAGTCTCAGCTAGAAGACAGAAATCAATTTTACAATTACAGAAGACAATTCTGCTCTCGTATACAGCCCTGCCATTAACCAACGAAAAGAAGAAAAGGTCAATTACCTGTAAACAACTTTATGCCTGAACATCAGCTAATTCTGGAGGAAGTGGAGTCTTAGGATGCTTGCTCTCAAAGTGCTGCTTGAAGGTCTTAGGGTCTGGCATTTGTGTCTAATTTAAAAAATTGTGCAAAAAAGAAGAGTTAGACCTGATTCATGAAATAAAAATTGCTAACTTTTAAAGTCCTGAGCCTACTCACAATTGACAACTATTGCAAAACACTTTTAAATTCCTATAACTTAATAGCTGGCATATGAAAAAGGACCCTGTAACAAAGAAATTCCTAGCATATTCCCACATTTCACATATAAAGGGTCACACAGAATGAAGTATTCTTATCTGATTAACAGTAAACAATAGGTAACATTTACCGAACACATTATGTTAAGCATGTTAAAAATTCTCATAGAACCTTTCAGTGATCTTTTTTTTTGTGCGTGTGTGGTACGCGGGCCTCTCACCGTTGTGGCCTCTCCCACTGCGGAGCACAGGCTCCGGACGCGCAGGCTCAGCGGCCATGGCTCACGGGAGCAGCCGCTCCGCGGCATGGGGTATCTTCCTGGACCGGGGCACGAACCCGTGTACCCTGAATTGGCAGGCGGACTCTCAACCACTGCGCCACCAGGAAGCCCCCTTCCAGTAATCTTAATTCAGGTCCTACTATCCTCATTTTATGTGCTAAGGAAACTAAAACCTAGAGATTAATTTGTCCAATACCTATGGTTAACCTAGTACTAGGTACTTCAGATCTCAAATACTACACTATACTAACTTATCTAGGCAAGGACCTTCAATTATTCTTTAGCACATTACATTAGACAAAACATGAAATGAACATTTTTTGTTGTTTTGAGTTTTTAAATATATGAGCTACTCTAATACTTTTAGGTCAAGGTATTTCTTCATTAGTAATTTAGCAAAATTTACTTCTACCTTGCCTCTTTCCAAACAGAGTCTGAAGCTGCTCAATTTCATTATTTTGAGTATATCAAAGCTCACTATGAACAGGTTATTTAATGTAATAGATTTCCTCTCTTAGATTACTGAGAACTTTTATGTAGTTAGGAACTTCTATTTCATCAGTAGTGACTTCAATAAATGATAAACTTTAGTCCAGGAATCAAGTCTTATCAAGATCCCTTCCCATCCCTACTACCAATTCTACCTAGGCATAGGGCTTTGGGGGGAACAAAAAAAGTCTCTTGTAACTGGATCAACCTCACTATGCACTTTTCCTTTGGCACTTTTATTCACTAACTTCAAGGGTAGTGAGCTTGAACAAACAGGCAAAAAAGAGACCCCGGCTTGGAATTTAAGGAAAACTTCTTTGAGGCAGTGTGGTACAGTGGTCTAAAAGGTGGGCTCTGGAGCTGGACCTCCTGGGTTTAGATCCTAGCTCTCCTGCATACTAGCTGGGTGACCCTGCACAAGTTATTCAGTCCCCATGACTCAATTTACTCTCCCGTAAAATGAGAATAAAAGTACTTTATGCCATAGGGTTGTTATGTGAATTAATGGGCTCATGCATGTAAAACACTTCGATCAGTGTCTGGCACCTGGTAAGCACTCAATAGCAGCTGTTATGATTATTCTTCAAATCTAATAAAATACATTAATTCTAGTAGAAGCCCTCAATGTGAATATACTCTATTTAGTTTTGTAGACATCATAACTATGAAGGTAGCGAAGAAAAAAAAAAAACCAATTAATATAACCAGAGGTATATTACATAGCTCTAAATTAAGAATGTAAATCTGACCTTTTTTAAAGTTCAAAGTGTTGCCCTTAAGAAGACATCTTTATTCTCCATGAGGAAACGGATTTTGCTTTGTTCACTCCTTTTCACTAACACCAAGAGAACTGTGCCTGGCCAAAGGAGCTATCCAAAACATGTAATTGTTGGGACTCCTCTGGCGGTCCAATGGTTAGGACTCCACACTTCCACTGCAGGGGGCACAGGTCCAATCCCTGGTCAGGGAACTAAGACCCTGCATGCTGCACGGCGTGAACAACAACAACAAAAAGCATATATATGTGTGTGTGTATATATGTATATATACGTATATATATAAAATTGTTGAACAGATAAATGAAGACGGGTTCCTAACACAACCAGTTCTCAAATCTCCTATTTCAAGTAAAGCATTTATCTCGCCATGTTTGCAAAATTTTAACCTATACAAACCAATCTCTAATGAAAGAACTGTCCACGAGAAAGCTATGTCTTTCAATTCCCCTTACCCTACAGACAGTGCAGGTATATATTAAGGCAGCTTTGGCAGCAGCCTTTTGGTCATGTCCTTGTTTCTTCTTTTGTCCAGCTTGCTTTTTGGCATTTTTCTGCTGAGACTGAATCTTCTGCTGTCCACGAGCCATATCTAAAAACAGAAGTTGAGGCATTAAAGTGAAATCTAAGTATGATAACACTCTCAGAGTTACAAATTCTCATATACAATGCTACTAGAGGATAAATTGATATAACCACTGTAGAAAACTAGTCGTCTACTCTATAATCTCACAATTCCACTCTTGGTATATATTCAACAGAAGTGCAGGTACACTGTTTCTAAAACTGGAAACAATCCAAATGCCTACTAATAGTAAGATGGATACATAACTTGTAGCAGATTTCTACAATGGAATACTATGCAGCACTCAAAGAGAAGAAACTATTGTTAAACAACATGGTTATATCTCAGCATTAAGGAAAGAAGCCAGATACAAAGAACATATTGTTGTATAAAGTTCAAAACAGGCAAAACTAATCCAGGAAGTAACGCTGGGAAGAAAGGGCATGAGGGGGATTTTTGGGGTACTGATAATGTTCTGTGTCTTAATCTAGGTAATGGTTACACATGTGTATTCACTTGTAAAAATTCACTGAGTTATACACCTAAGAATTGTACACTTTCTTATATGTAATCTTCAAAAGTTTACCAAAAACAGTTTAGCCCCTTCCTCAGTCATTTGTCTGATCATTTTGCAAAGGTACTCTCCCCTTCCAGTATTCACTGTGCAACCTGAGATTCTTACAACTTTAAGAGAAATAAAAGCTGTCATCTAATGTCTCTAAAGGAGCTCATACGAGCAATGGAAACCATTCTCTTAAATACTCAGGTTTCATGAAACTACTGTGCTATTCTTTCTTTTAAAAAAAATGGTATTCATAGGATTGCTGGACAAATTATTAAATAAGATTAAGGGTACCTTTACAAAAATGAAAGATACCACTTTTTACTACTGATTATCTGAAATGAAGATGGGTTAAAAATTAAGGGAAAAGAACTACTTTTACTTTTTTATTAAAATTAAAGACTCCTTTAAAGACAACACAAGTAAATCTGTTCATAAAAGGTCTATAATGAGTCTCAGCTGCTTTTTAAATACTTTAAAATAGGATCTAAGGAGAATTCCTATGGATAGTTTTGACTAGCACTGCAATTAAATTTTAAACTTTTAAGTCATTGCAGAACATGAACACACAAAGGATCTATAACTTCACCAGAAAATAGTGCTAGCTTTTTCTGACTGGAACCTTAACTAGTTAACAGGTATGAGGTCAAAGCATTTCATTGAAACACCTGAGCTTCTCCCAAAAAGAAAAAGGGAAACTGAAAAAATAAACACATCAGTTGGACAAGTTCCCACTAGCATTAAACACTGAACCAGAAGTCAAAATATAAAGAAGGATCAATCCTTTTCCAGGAAGCTGGCTGAATATTTTAACAAATTACAAAAATGTTTAGTATGCCAGCCTAATATAAGAACCCCATTCTCACCAAATAAAAGTAAATATTACCAGATGTCTTAGCCCTTGAAGACTATCATTTTTGTTATTTTTTAAAAACCAAATTCTTATTAATTCCAAGCTGAATGAAATGATTTTTTTTAAAGTATATTTATGGCACACTTACAAACCAATTCCCATGGAAACAGATTTGGATACTTTTGTATTACTTGGATGATAGGTATTCAATCTTTATGCATCCTAATGTTTATAGCATTCTTAATGTCTCAATGCTTTAGTATCAATACCTTATGTTAGAATACTTCAGTTCTCTCACAGATCTGAACTCTTCCACACGATGTATGCTATGCTACGTATGTTAATACACTGTGTGGGTAACCTCTTAATTGTTTTACGTTGGGAAAAAAACATAAAATGTAAGCTACTAATTCTAGAGGTTTCTTTGATATCTAGAAGTTATTAGCTATTTTGATAACATTTTCATGCAGTAATGTGTAGAAAGCAATACCATTAGATACATATTATTTTTAACTTTTGCAGTTACCATTTCTCCTCAAATATAACATTAACAATACATTTAACCCATTTTCATTGTCATCTAACAAAAGTAACAAAAAGCCATAGAAGTTTTAATAAATAGAAGACTGTGGTTGCTTGTTCTTATTTTTAAAACAGAAAACACCAGGTAAGGGAAACTGAATCAGTCTAAACGCCTGAGGTAGGCCCCTAAGTTCTAGCAACACGCTGCACTGATTTCCTTTCTGAAAGGAGAAATGCAAACGAACAAACCACCTGCTTTCGGACAGCTCGACTTAGGACTTACTCTCAAGCCAGCTGAGTTTTCTACAAGATCTAAGCGTAACCAAGTATAACTTCTCCTCGACTAAATGCAACAAACGGAGGAGCAAGAAGTCCTTTATAAGTACCTAGAAGCTGGCTTTTAATATAACTCTTACTTTGTATGGTCTTCTGAGGGGGCTCCAAAGAGGGAAGCAGTAGAGGGAATAGAGTTCTTCCAAAATGAGGAGCTCTTACAGGGGGCAACAAGTAAGCACTGTCCCAAAGATCCTCTTAAAACCAAAACAAACGAGTAAGAGAGAAATAGATTTTGGATCCAAGAAGTAGGATCATTCTCCACAAGCATCTAAAACGAAGAGGCCCAAGCACTGATCAACATCCTGACCCTAGCCTTTTAAATACATCCCTTTTGGAGAGGAGAGAGAATGAAAGCACCAGCGGTGAGGTCTATTTCACCCGGCACTTCGCTGAGCCCAGCTGCAGCCCAGCGCGCCTTCCTTCCCAAACCGGCCTCTCCCGCCCGGGAGAGCTCCCTCCTCTCTTCTGCCACCCAGAGCCACACAACCCCTACCTACCCGCCACTCCTCACGGACCCCGGCCCGAGACGCGCCTCCTGGAGGCCTCGGCTGCCCGAAACCCGGCCCCTTCGGCCACAGGGAGCCCCAGCCTCGAGAAACCGACCAGCTGCTGTCGCCGGCGGCTTACCGCTCCGCCGCCGCGGCCGGCCTGCGACCCGGCCACCTGCAGGGCCTGGCAGACGCCCGAGCTTCCCGTCCTTCCGCGGCCCGCGCCGGGACCGGACGGGCTCGGCCGCCCCCAGGGAGGCGGGGCAGGCCGGCGGCCCCTCGCGACCCGCGATGACCCCCCACGGTCCCCGCCGACCCCGCCGGCGGGGCCCCCACCCGGCTCCCAGGAGTCCTGCGGCGTCAGCACCGCCCCACAGCCGCTCACCCGGGCCGGGACAGTCTTGCGTCGGAGAAACCGCGCAGCGCGAGAGGGCCGGGGGAGGTGGCCGGAGGGAGAGGAAGGGGAGCGCAGCGCGCCCAGTACCGCTTCGGCCTCCTCCACCCGCCAAGGAGGGGAAAGGGGAGAGCCGGGAGCACAACAGCCCGCGCCTCGCACCCGCCGCCGCGCGCGCCCGCCGCCGCCTCAGCCTAGGGGGAGGCCACTACACCTCGTGCTCGCGCACGCCGCACAGCTCTCCCAGTCGCCCCAGCGCAGCCTGCTCAGCGCAGCCCCCGCCCGCCGGCCTTCCTGTCGCGGCCTCCCTCCGCCCCCACCCGCTCGCGCGCCTGCGCCTCTTCCGGTCGCGCGGGCCAATGGCAGCGCGCCCCTATTACATAAGCGAGAGGGGGCGGGGCCTGGCGGGGACGGTGGCCCTTCAGAGAGTGGAACAGCAGGGGACGTCGCGCTCTGTCGCAGGCGCACCGCCTCCCCGTTCTCTTGCGTGCTCCATCTGGGCGGCTTCAGCCGGCCCTAGGAGCCGCGTGATCTCGGTCCTGGCGGTTGACAGCCCGCAGTGTGATTCACAAGTCGCTTGCTCACTCACTGGGGCGGCGGCCAGGCTTCGACCCCTGCGTCCCCTCCCACGAGCTTCCAGTCTCGGCGGCGTCCTCCTGTGCCCCGGCCTGGGGAGGATCCCGGAGAGGGGCGCCAGCGCCGCGGCGGTGTGGGTCACCGACCCCGGAGCCCGCCACCCTGGCACACCGCCGCATCCGCCAGCAGTGCGGCCGGCGGGCCGGGAGGCCCTGAACTGGGACGCGCGACCTTTGTTCTCTCCACCACCTACCCTTTACCTCGTTCCCATGGAAACCTCAGTTATTTGACCATTCTGGGGGTTTTAGTGAGTTCACGATTCACGCCTGACTGTCTCACTGAAAATTGCCGGCTAGGCCCCCCTGACCGTTTCAGGCTGACTACTTAACAATATACTGAGTTGTTAATACTTAGGGAAATGGTTAAGTTGTGGGTTTTTTGGTCTTGACTTATAGGCCACGACAGCTAATTTCCAATATCAGAATCAAGAGTGATGGCGATTGTAACGATCATTAAATGTTTATCTGGAAAGGGCAGCATGTTTAGACGTCGGCTTTTTCTTAACCTCCCCCCCCCCGCCCCCCAGCACACATTGGTTTGTAATTAGAACTACAGATAAAACAACAAAGGAGGGTCTTGCATTTGACTGTCCCACCTTGACCCATAGCCTCCGCTCTCCCAAATTTGCCTGTCAGCGCCCCAGGAAATGTTAGTTGAACATAAGTACATCGCAAGTTTTCTGGACCGGTATATGTGTGTCACCAAATTGTTTAAAATAGCCAGGAAGGGGTTAACTGCTTATTGCATTTGGGTGGCATACGACAACGATCTGGTTGTTCAGTCCTTCCTTTTCAACCTCATTTCAGTTCCTCTCGCCTTCACTTTTCACGCCCTCCCTTCCGTATTGCAGTTTTAAGTTACATGTTCAAATTTTATTAATATCTCTCCAGTATTCAATTGTAAGCTCATTTTCACCACTATATACCCAGTGCTTAGCAGCGTATGAAACATGGTAGGAATTGAAAAGAAAGCAGGACTTGAAAAGAAAGCAGGAATTGAAACATGGCAGGAATTGAAAAGAAAGCAGGACTTATAGTGACATTTCATGAAACCATAGCTCAATTATTAGTAGTCACCATAACCATAATAACTATATTAACCTGGCTAACAGGAGGTGGATGAGGTACTTGGAAAACCTAAAGACACGAAATCTGTTTGTCTAGCCATGAATGAGATTGGACAACAGAAAGGGACAGGGAAATCTGATTGGCAAGGATAAGTCTTTTTAACTAGAAAGGTGATTTCTGTTGTGAAATAGGGTTAATGTGTCACTTGTTACCAAGGCCTAGATGAAATATTCATTCATACCAAGGCCTAGATGAAATATTCATTAAAACCAGTGTTTCTTAAATTTTTGAGTTATACCACTTGCAAGAAATTGGTAAATGCTATGGACTTTGCCCCTAAAAATTTCATGTACATATAAACTTATCCCCACTGGTAAAATTTCTGAACCTTGGTACTAATCACATTTTGGGCTGGATAATTCTTTGTTATGGGGGCTGTCCTAGGGACCGTAAGATGTTTAGCAACATCCCTGTCCTTCTACCCTCTTGATGTCAGTAGCACTTCATCTCCAGTTGTGACAACTGAAAATGTCTCCAGACATTGCCCAATGTCCTCTTGGGTCAAAATCTCCCCTGGTGGAGAACGACAATAGAGGATATGGTATTATGGTAACTTTATATGATGGTTAGGGCATTTAAAATACAAAGGGAAAAAAATGAAAGAAGGAATGAATAAGATTCAACACCTGTGAAGTGACAAACAGTAAATGAAAGGCAGATGAATTCGCATAACTACCAGCTGGTGTCCTACTTATGTTATAGAAATGTGACAGCGAATGGGATATGAACTCCTTGGAAAAATTTTTATACATAGTTTTGGTTTTAATCGTGAATGCTACAGTACTTCTACTGACTGTTTTTCCTCTTCTGCCTGAGACAATTACTCTAGGTTAATATGCAGTAAGCCTGTGCCTATTTTCTATCCCAATCACAAGCAGATTATAATGCTGCTCCGAAGACCTGAAAGACTTATTTATTTATTTGTATTCATGTCAGGTTTTCAGGGGTGAAAGAGCTGGTGGTTAGTCAATATATTATTTCTCAGATAAACATGGATTTATCTGTGGCATGTAGGTTAATATCTAAATGTAGTGAAGTGCTGGGAATTCCCTGGTGGTCCAGTGTTTAGGTGCTTTCACTGCCGAGATCCCAGCCTGGGTTCAGTCCTTGGTCGGGGCACTAAGATTCCACAAGCCACGCAGTGTGGAAAAAAAAAAAAAAAAAAGAGTGTAGTGCTCAGCTCAAGGGTTCATTGGAGAACAAAGGAGGCAAAGGAGGCGGTTTCCTGCCCCTATAGGTCCTTCCGCCTAGTGACAAATAATAACAACCGCAATAATGACAATGATAGACTCAAAACAAAAATGTTACCTTTGCTGTGGCTCTTCTTCCTCTGCTCAACTTCTACTTGTTGAGATTTCTCAGGGCTGCAAGGTGGATTCTCTTGTCTTCTCTACCCTCTTAGCCCAAAGGGAAAAGTTGTGGCTTTAAATAATGAACTTCATATGACCTCTCTTCTGATTCCAAATTAATATACCCAAATGCTTATTTTTCATTTCCATTTCAACGTTTCACAGTCATTTCACATTTGGTGCTATATGGTATTGAATCTAAGAAGCTATTGATTGTAAGTCACATTTCTGTCCACCAGGATAAAAAAATTGCTTCCAGTTGAAGGCATTATACTAAAATACTCTTGATTGTAAGACATCACAATTTCAGAGATGTTAAAATAGGTTTAAAAATAATGTGATGTATTAGAATAGCATCAAGAACAAAATTCTTAGAAGTAAACTTAACAAAAGAAGTGCAAAACCTACATTCCGAACACTAAAAAACATTGTTGAAAGATATTAAAGAAGACATAAATAAATGGAAAGGCATTCCATGTTCACGGATCAAAAAACTTTTTATAAAGGTGGCAATAGTCCCCAAAATGCTCTGCAGATTCAACACACTTCCCTATCAAAATCTCAACTGATGTCTTTGCATAAATCACCAAGGTTATTCTGAAGTTCATTTGGAAGTTCTAAGGAACCCAGATGTGGTATAGTAAGAAATGTGTTTGGTCTTTGTTCCTATCCCATTCCTAAAAAGTTTCTAAAACCCCCAGAATGTTTGAATGATAGGAGTGTTTTTTGTAGTTTATAAGAAGCTCCTTTTGAGCATACCTGAATTTATGCTAATAAGGTGATTTAGGTTGGGGGCCATAGATGGCCTCAGGATGGGGCTGGTCACCAGAAAAACCCAGTTATTAAATGATTAGAACTTTCAGCCCCACACACTGACCTCAGGGAAGGTAAAGAAGAGAGGGCTAGAGATCAAGCTCTATGAAATCTCTTGAACAAGATTTGATGAGCCTTCCGGTTGGTGAATGGGGCCTTCACATGCTGGGAGGGTAGCACATCCTAGTTCCATGGGGACAGAGGTTCCTGTGTCTAGAGCCCTTCTGGACCTCACCCTCTGTCCTATATAACATCTTTTATAATAACAGTTTAAACATAAGTAAATGTTTCTTTGAATTCTGTGAGCTGCTCTAGCAAATTAAATCAAAGCTACAGAGTAGATTGTGGGAACCTCTGATTTATAGCCCATCAGTCAGAAGTGCAGGTAACAACCTGGACATGCAATTGGCATCTGAAGTGGAAGTGAGGGCAGTCTCGTAAGACTAAAACCTTGTAAGACTAAATCCTTAACCTGTGGGATAGGGTGCTATCTGTAGGTAGATAGTGGCAGAGTTGAGTTACATTGTAGGACACCTACCTGGTGTTGCAAAATTTCTTGATGTTTGGACAACCTACATATCTGGTATCAGCAGTGAAACAGTGTAGTGAAGTAGGTATTGAGAGTAGAGGAGACACACACAGGAGTCCTCACACCAGAAGAGCCAAAACAATGTTGAAAAGAGGAACAAAGTTGGAGGGCTTACACTTCCCAATTTCAAAACTTGCTACAAAGCTACAGTAATCAAGACTGTGGTCCAGGCATGAGAATAGACATATAGATCAATGGGATAGAATTGAAGATCCAGAAGTAAATCTTCACATTGATTTCAAAATAGGGGCCAAGAAAATTCAATGAAGAAAGGACAGTCCTTTCAATAAACGGTGCTGGGACAACTGGATATTCAAATGCATATAATGAAATTGGACCCCTACCTTGCACCATATACAAATATTCATCAAAAATCGATCATAAACCTAACTGTATATGCTAAAACTATAAAATTCTTAGAAGAAAATATAGGAGTAAACCTGCATGATCTTGGGTTAAGCAAAACCTTCTTAGATATGACACTTAAAGCATTGATGACAAAAGACATAACCCAGTTAAAAAATGGGCAACAGATCTGATTAGATATTTCTGCAAAGAAGATATACAAATGGCCAATAGGTACAAGAAAAGATGCTCTCCATCATTAGCCAAAAGCAAAATCAAAACACTGAGATAGTACTCCACACCTACTAAAATGGC